TACATATATCGACATTTGTTTCTTTGAGTTGATAACAAAATAATTAAAAAAAATTAAATATATAAAGTAATATATATATATATATATAATAGGTAGAGGCATTGAATTACCGTTTGCTTCTCAAAGAGCAGTCCAAAAACCTTCATCAATTCTACTAAAATATCAAAGCTGCTAGCGTCTTCCTCCAACTCATTTTTCCACAGATGACGTAGCAATGTCTCACTCAGAATGCCTTTATCAAGCAGATTCCATAACTTCATCATTGCGGGTCTCTAAATAAAAATAAAATCAACAAAAACATAATGTTATTAATAAAAATGTGTAGAGGATTTTAGTCAGGTGTGCAATTCAAAAATGAATGGTCATTAATGTACTCTTATTAAAAACGGATTTCGTATACTGCATGTTAAAATGTGTATGGTCTATCCCGCACGCCAGTTTACTTGATTGTTAATAGTACCTGATCTTCTGTTGTGATTACTTTCGTGAATATTTCAATCAACATGTGCACGTTAGTAATCACAGTGTTCTTCAACTTCATGTTAGTTGGCGAATACATAATGATTCCGCAATCATTTAAATAGTTGAGAATGTGGATGGTGTTTTCGTTTGGAATTCCACAATTGACAGCAATCTCAGTGACCTAAAAAAATATTGAATAAAATATTAGAAACACTCTAATAATTGTCTATAAATAAAACCAACATAAAAATATTCATGACAGTGAAATGTTATTACATCTAACCTTGATATAGAAATAATAAAAATAATTAATAATTAATAATAATAATAATAATAATAATAATAATAATAATAATAATCACATTTATTATAATTAATTCTAAAATATTTTTCCACAGTCTTATAGAATGTTTATGAGGCTGTGGAAATTTCGGAAAAATACGACAAAATGGTACCTCGTCTAAGGACATGCGCAGTGTTGTTTTCCCAACTTCTTGGATTTTCGACTGGAAATCAACCCATTTTGTGGGAACTGTTTGTGCCATTTGCTTTGTGTAACCTCCGAGATTTTTCTTCAATTTTTCAATCCCTTTGTCATTTGCTGATGTATTATCTACAGCATACATCGTTCTATCTACGTGAACTTCGAATGGCATCCCTTTGATTACTTCAAATATTATTTTGAATATTGCTTCAATCTTTGAATAAAATCAAATAGTACAATTTCATATAATTACAGTTTACCTGTGTTTTCATACATTGAAATTTACAAAAACAACAAAAGTGAAGCACATTAGAGAATCCAAAATTGGCATTCAATTACTTAGTGTCATCATCATCACCACCATCTTCATTGTCGTCATGATTGTCATTGCCATATTCAAAAAGACAAATGCTTGCAAAAGAAATTTTTTATAAATAATATATTTAAAAATTCAGATTTAAATAACAACAATGTTAATATTATCAAGGCCACTGATATAGACACTTCTGGCAACAAGGGAAATATTTGTTAATACTTTGTTTACGTAGAGATTAAAGTTATCACTTTATGTATTAACAAGCCTTTTTTTTATTTTTACATTACACAAAATTCGAGAACTGTAATATGTCTAAAACTGAGATGTAATATCTTACCTGATTCTGTTTATCCTCCTCACTTCCCTCTAATTTGTCTTTGTGAGTGCCAACCAAACTGATTGTGGGTGAGGCTATCGTGTCATTTATCAATTTCGTACTTGGATTATATTGTAGTACAGCGTGCTCATATATTGACCGTATCCAGAAAATAATCATTTGGAGATTAGTCATTTCAAACTGATCCTGATAAAAGGAAGAAAGGAATAAAGAAGAGTAAAGTGAGAGAAGAAAATGACTGTCATAGTTAAGACCATTAAATTACTAAGTTAAAATATAAGAACATACTTAATAATCAAAAACAGACTTGTCATGCAATTAAATTAATGGAAACTAATTCTCTTTGTTGCATAGTAGAAAAGGTGAAATGATTTATTTACTTTCAGTGGACCTCTTGATTTTGCCAATTCATTCAAAGGGTCAAACAAACTAAAAACAACGACATATGACGATCCATCTGTCAAGAAAAACTAAAAACGAAAAATAAAGTAAATACATGTATGATTAATTAAAATAATATTAAACATTGCGTTAAAAATCTCTTAAATGTCAACTGATCATTAAAAGAAAATGAAATTATAAACGTACGAACTGTATTTTGATGTTTCTGGTTTATGTGCGTAAACATATATTAAATGTATTATCTCAACTAAATTCAGCACGATCGCTATATTATTATCAATAATTAATCAATTATTATAAAGGTGCTATGCTGCTTACCCTGTGAGTTATATAATATGAGATTTGGCCTGCATAATCCCACATACATGTTACATCACTCGGTATTTTGTCAGTAGTCTTCTTTCTCGTTGTTTTCTTAAAGAATCGTTTAAAATGGCCGCGTTTTGGTTTAGGATTATGGTAGTCAAGTTTAGCAACAACTTTTTTAACAATTTCTTCTGGGAGTCTATGGAACTGTCTAGTCGATACGTTTGCAGCGCTCTGAAACACATCAGAAGTTTCTGAAAAAAAAAAAATAAGGAAATAAAATTCGAACTCGTATAAATTTTGAGAGCCGGAAGAAAAAAAAGAGATGGTCTGGAGTGAAGATGGACTATGGTGATGACAATGGAATACAACAATAAATGAATGATGAGAGTGTAATTTAAAAAAATGATTATTATGATGATCATGTTGATTGGAAATCATAAGCAATGGCAGAAAAGATGATGAGATAACTATAAACAATATGATGCTACTACTTAAAATGTACCGTACTGTATGTGAAATTTTAAGATCTAAGATTATCAACAGGAGGATGACAGGGACACTTGAAAAGTTTGGGAGGGACTCAACTGTAAGCTGGCTAAATTAGGAGGGGGGGGAAGAAAAACTGCAATCGTCAGAAGAAAATATAGCGTAGCTTTTACATGCCTTTGAAATCTCTCAATTTTTTCATTGTATTCCTTTTGAACGATGCCTGACCACATTATTACGCTCTTGTCTGGGAAATGTTTAAGTTTATTTAGCTGGCATTAGAAAATAGACAACGCGCAATGTAAAGACAAACAAGGCTTAGCGGAAAAAACTATCGACAACCCAATTCCCCTGTAATCATATAAGGGATGTGATGAACAGTGATCTTAAATAATAAATACCTCTTTCCTCTGAAGTTAGACTTCTAGCTTCCTCTGATGTTACCTGCATAAAATAGTTTGTAGAAATACAGCAGTTGGTAAATTATTGTTGTTTAAGAAAATAATCATAAATTTTAGTTACTTCTATGTAGTTAAGATATTCTATTTATAATAAAACATTACTAGCATAGTTAAAAATATGGAAACATCAAGTACCAAATAGCAAAGCTACAAAATATCGTAAAACTGATAGACGACGAATAAAAAATAATGGAATCAATGTCAGAAGAACGTTTTAGAAAGTGGGGGAAGGGTAATCAATCCAGTATGCGAGCATAGCGAGCATCTAGGCCGGGAGAGTAAACGGGAGAAGCTTATTGGAAGATACGAATATTTGACCATTTTTTAAAATGAATTTTACTATTTTATAGGCATCAAATAAATGTAATATTATGAATTCATAATTGTCTAATGTCAAAGTCCAAGTTGATCCTACTTCCACGATCACAGTGAATTTTTCCAAGCATTATGACGGTATCCTTGATGAAAATTAACACAAATAGCTCAATGAGGAAGCTTGCCTAAACGAAGTTTAGACCTAATACTAAAAAAAATATTCCACGACGAAACCTTCTCCGGTTAGACGAGGGGGCCTTGAAAATAATTAAAAAAAATACCCTTTTGGATGCCCGGAAATGGTACTTTAATATTCAACGTTTAACATAGTCTTTCATTTGTTTTACCTATTAATACTAATTCTTAGTGCCAAGCGATTATGCAATACAGTTTTTATAATAAATAACACATTTTAATTACAATTTGTACTATAAAAACTGTAGTTAACCTTTAGAGAACTTTTTTTAAAAGTAAATAAATAAATAAATAAATAAAAAATAATGTATTTTGTATTTGTAGTACAAATGTTTTCTCTTCTAGAAAAAATACTAAGAAATGGTGTAAACATTAATTAGGATATGGTAATTGAAAGGAATTATGTACAATGAAAATGAAAATATATATATGTATGTGTATATTATGTATGTGTCTGTGTGTATGTGGGGTGTGGGGGTGTGTGTGTATGTGTATATGTGGGGTGTGGGTGTGTGTGTATGTGTATGTGTGTATGTGTATATGTGTGTATATATATATGTATATAATGTTTGTATGTATGTATATATATGTATATATAAGAAGTAAGTGGAAGAGATTAAACTTTGAAAAAACAAGACTTTTCAAAAAAATGTATATGTTACAGAAGGAAGGATGAAAAATACATATATATATATTCCAGTGAAAGCAATGATTAAAATCAAATGCTTTATAGAATAATTGATCTAATTAATTTTATCAGTAATTTTAATTGTATATAAGCATGAGTACTATGTCAAATTTGTAAGATACGGTGCATGTATATAAATAAGAATTGTGTATATACATTGGAGAACGTATTATTGATATATTTACATGGTATGACAATAAAGGTGGGAAACACCCACAAAAGAGAAAAAAAAACTTTATTTTAAAACTTGGCCTAATTAGTGATATCTTATTGTGTTTGTTTTATATGAAATTTTAATGTGGTTATACTGTATATGGTCATGATGTGATGCCATCATGACCATATTAGGCATGTCACATGTTTTTTGTTATTTTTTCAAATAAAATTCAAGAGTCTGAACAGGTTTTATACTTAACATAATGAGAACTAGAGAGAGTGCCTACAGGTCTACGCCATGTGCCCATGTGGTATTTACGCAAGGAGGGAGATTTCGATTCATTGTTTTCTTTAAGCTCGAGATGAGTACGTTTCAAGGATACATTAAAGACGCGCGCTTTACAATTTACAGTATAATCATTATTACTATTGAAGAAAAATACATTTTTAACTTATTTGATAATGAGATTAACCATTTTAAGCACTCTGTAATTACACCATCGTCATTCAGCACCACGGAACATTACTTAATGTGATAGAATTTTTGCGCTATTCAAGTTACTTCGATTGATCGATTGATTGATTGATTGATTGATTGATTTACAGACACACACTCGTTGCTAAACTCGAAAATAAAAACTTATAATGTACGTTTAAATATGACCAAAAAAATCTACAATATATTGAATAATAATGACACATAGTGTTAGTTAACTATGTTTATTACTGGTGATGGGTTTGGTCCAAGAGTAAAAAAAAGGGTCATCTTCCCCCACCCCGTTTCCGTCACCGTTGAAGTAGAGGGGGGGGGGGAGGGGGTGGAACACTAAGGGAGTTTTGTAGATAGAATCCCGCTTCCATCAGGCTCATTATGTTTGGGGCTCAGGAAAGGGGGTGGAGGAAGGTATAGTCTGTCGAGGAGGAAAAAAAATCAATTTGTCATGAAAAAAAAATGACAAAACCCATGGGGTATCGGACCGTTATAAAGAAAATAAATAAATAATAATAATAATAATAATTCATTCATTATCATACCACTGGATATGCTGCAGAACTGGGTGATACGGACATAGATGTGGTTTTCTGGCTTTCTGGTGGTTCCAACTTCCTTGCAATATGTTCTGCTATATTATACTCTCGTATTTGCTTGGTTAATTCACACACTGTACAATAATCAAAATAATTATTAGGCCTATCTTAAGTATATTGATTTTTAATCAATTCATTTGTGATCACGTATATTTGATAAGTAACAATATTTATTAGAATACACGTCTAGCTTATAAAAAACGCCAACTCAAATACTCCCACCCCCGCGAGTCTCAGTTGAAATAAACGCTTCACTAGAATTTCTGTAGACAAAACGAATTTAATCAACATCATTCTCACTCTCATAAATGTTCTACTTCAAGTAAAATTACATGTTTTCTTCTTGTTGGGATCATTTGGCATAGGCCTATTTACTGTGAAATTAAAGAACGTTTATTAGTGCATACCTATTTATAGTTTATATACGAACGTATATTTTCCACCAAAATATTATAAACGCCTCCCTTCAATGAATTCCCCAGGTTGTTTATTTAAATATTTACGGTAATTCTATAAGCGTACTCGCGTGAATAAAATATTTTTTTCGGGGCGCATATGAAAACAGAGAAAAAATGAGGGGCGCTAATAGAAATAGATGAAAATCAAGGGGTTCTTAAATGAAAAACGATTATATAAGGACATCCAACCGCAAATTACGAATGGTGCGGCGGTCCAGAGAACATAGCTTGTTATAAAAAGAATGTTGTGAGTACATTATCAACAGAATAGCAGATGAGATTAGTGGTAGTGGTTAGCTTGTTGGCCATCGGCCGATTGAGATTAGCAGGATGTTATGATAATTTCAGGTTTTCTTGAAAAGGCTATAGACAAATGCAAGAAGATGAAGGTTGGAAAAATACTGTCTGTCCAGGGAGCTCTCATCTGTCAAAGATAAATATCCTCATTTTGATATTGACTATAACTCAAATCATGCCAACACCCACACTCCCAGGGTTGATTGGACTTTTGAGGGGGCGTTTATTCAAATTAGACGGGGGCACTTATTCAAACGTGGCGCTTATTCGCGCCAGTACGGTATCCATACCGTCTACATCCTTATGTTCCTCCCACTTGCTGCAGTCTTCACCAGTTTGAAATACCATTGTTGTTACAATACCATCTGTTGATGGTTCGTTTTTATTGAATCTATTGCGTTTTAAGAAAAAAGAAAAATAATAGTTATAATGATAATGCTAATATTAAAGTAGTGATAATAATAAATTATTGTTAAATAATAATAATAATAATAATAATAATAATAATAATAATAATAATAATAATAATGATGATGATGATGATGATGATGATACTAATAATAAATAATTATAATAATAATAATAATAATAATAATAATAATAATAATAATAATAATAATAATAATAATAATAATAATGATGAATTACGTTCCATAATAATTACATACAAACAGCTTAAGATAAAAACAGCTTAAGATAATTTTTCATTATTAATTAGTTAATAAATGTTTCGATATGTTGAAAAATTATATTACAGTTTCTACTCGTAGTCTACGTATGAGCAAAGATATCTTTGCTTTCAGGCTTATTATGACCTAATTGAATTTGACTTTTGTTGATCGTTGATCTGCAACACATTCTTTACCTAATAAATTATTTTTAACAAACGAGCGTACAATACGCACACACACGCGCAAAATAACATGCTTGAAACGATAAAGTGGCATTATCTTTGAAAGCAGTCAAGGAGCGCTTCATTCATGAAAAGACGATTTACAAATAAAGATTATTAAAAGTGCACATAATTTAGTTAGAATTGTTGAAATAGAGTAATTTAAAATAGCTTCAATCAGTCAGCTTCCTTTCTTTAACCTTAAGATTATATAACACCAAGCTATCTTTTCTATTTAAATAGAAATAAAATAAGGAAATTTCACTTACTGTTTTCTAAGAATGGAATTTACAAGGCTGGTTTTACCAGCCCCTTCCTTTCCTAGAAACATCACTCTGCTATTTACCAACGTCATTTCACCTTTTTCAATTGCATTGACGAAGGCAGTAACTGCATCTTTTCCTCTGGCTTTAATTTGTGCAGGAAGTGTCATGGCTTAAAATAAAAATATGTCTGTTTCAAGTACTGGTATAATACATTATTTATAACGTTAAAAAACAAAATTAAATAAATCTTTTAAATATTCACTCTAAATAGCATTGTCATAATAATATAGATAAAAAAAATATTGGAAAAATACCAGTGTGTAGGCCCTATGTAGCCTTTTTCAAAATCAAAATTTAAAACTTGAGTATATTTATTAGGCGTTCATGTACAGACTATAATATACCGCAGATGATTAAATTCTCAAATATACAATGGGTTCGTCAATTTACCTAAAAGTAACTTTTTCAGTTCTTCCTTCTTCTCTCGTCTGATCGATCGACCGCCGTATTTACCACATTTAGTCTTATCATACAAATCAAGAGGCGTCTTTCCGTACTGCAATAACAGACACGAGTACACAAAAGTTGTATTTCATTCGATGACAGTTTCAAATTGAATATTATGAAAAGAATTATTAAATATTCCAATTAGTGTAAAGAATCCAAATCAATATTAATAAATACATTTTAATTTAATATTAATATTCATAAAATATAGCAAAATAATATTTTCAAAGT